AGCCCTCCAGCTGAAGGACTCTGCTGTCTACTTCTGTGCCTTCAGAGACACAGTGAGACAAAGGAGATGAGAAGTGAATCAAAAACTTACAAAGGGGGAACAAAATGTACAGGGTGGAGCCAGGAGAATTTACAAACTCTGGCAAGGATTTCGGGCAGGAAATTTAATTTTAATGCCCATCTTGGTCATGCTAACAATGATCCTGTCCCTTCTTAGCCGAGTTCCCACCGACTTTCTTCTTAGTCTTCAGGCTGGTTTGTTGGCAGAAGGTTAGAAATACATGTCCGTTCATTCACAAAATGCATGCGCACATGGATTGACATGTGTTCAAGATTGTGAACATTTTTGCTTCAACTGGAAGCCAGATTGGAGGTCTGGGAAACAGCACCGAGATTTGGGTGCCACAGAGCGAGCTACCAACACTTTGGAAATGAGTCCTGGCAATACATTAACACATCAAAGGCAGGAAGGATGGAACTCTTTTAAAGCAGGAATATTTTAAGTTATTCCCTTGGTTCCTTTTCATATCATACATAACCTAGATGGTTCTGGAGAACCAAGATGTTCATGGACGGCCCATAACTTTAGATGGATTCAATGTAAGAAGCACATTTGACAACGATCATACTGGACCTTGAATGTGAATAAAATATCAGGAAGTACCTGCCTTCCTGGTGCAGAATAATAATAAAAAAATGTTCCCAGAAAGCTATTACTTATTCCTAGATCTTAATTTAAAAAATATCTGTGGAAATTTTCCTTTTCCCTCTAAAGTCTCTAAAAACAGTTCCAAAATGCTTACCCATAAAAAGGTATCTCTGGAGCCTGAATTTAACATCCAGATCAGCCTCAGCTTCCTAAAGATCCTTGGAAGATGGATTGATCCAACATATGTTCAAGAAATTCCCAGGAATCAAGACTGAATCGAAGGGAAACCCCCCTCCCCCCCCCAAGATGAATATTGTTGATTCTTACATCTAAAGGTTCATTCTTTTTCTTTTCACTATAGGCAGGTTGGTTCAGTTATTATTTTGACCTTAAAACAGAGTTTTTAATTATGAATTTTGTGGCTATTTTCCTGTGCATCATTCCAAGCCACCATCACTCTCTTAGGGTCAGTGACATAGAAACCTGAGAAACCAGCAAAAAAGCAGCCAAATTTAATAATTTATTTTCTCTCCCTGAAGCAAGCAGCAATGGCATTTTCACAGGGATCAAAACATTTACAGAATTCCAGAGGCCTTTAAACATGGTTAATGTTCTTTAGAAGAAACAAAATGAAATACTATTTGCAGCTCAAGTCAACTCCGGGTGAGCCTTTGGATACATCAGCCATGTTTTCTGGGCAACGGTGCAGCAAGAGAGCCTGAAATCAAAATCATTTCTCTCTGTGGCTTCCACAAGGGCATAACAACATTGGAAGAGCCCCGCTGGATGAGGCCAATGGGCTTTTGAGTTGAGCACCCAATGCACCCTGGGCACAATAGGGAAGTTCATCGGTCAGGACAAGGAGGTGACTGCCTGTCAGCCTCCCCACCACAGATTTCCGAAAGCGTGTTCCTATATCAGGAATTCTATTCTGAATTCCTTTTTTAATGTTTCTAAGCATGAAATTTGGATTTTGAGAACAGCTGTGTTCTGCTTTAGCACATTTTCCTCAAAATGTCCACCATAATGCCATGATCCTGTTCTTGATCAACCATATCCTGTTCAGGTTTGATGGATGGATATATCTGAATCATCAGAAAGGACCAATAGAGGTGAATATGTGTAGCTCAGGGTTGAACTGTGGAGTCCTTGGGGTTCTCCGAGTTTGGTTCTTTTCTTGCAAACGTTTCATTACCTGGCTAGGTAACATCTTCAGTGCTAAAATGGGATTAGGATTTGCTCTCTATTTTTATGCTGTGGCCTGCCTTGCCAGTGCTGGTGGGGGTGGGGGTTTTGTTTTGCTCCTCTGGAAGTTCTTTGATCAGTATATGTTTGCTGCTTGATTGTGTGCCTGGCAGTAACGTTTGCTTATCTGGGTGATGATTGCTAGAGATGATTGCTGGTGATTGAATGCTGATGAGGCAATCTTCTGGCTTTTGTCTCTTTTGAAGAGTATGTAGATGCTGTTTATCTCTATGTGTCTGTTAATTGCTGCCTTGTCTGAGTACCAGGCTTCCAAGAATTCTCCTGCACAGCAATTAACAGACACATAGATATTAACAGCATCTACATACTCTTCAAAAGAGACAAAAGACCAAAATATCGCCTCACCAGCAATCATCACCCAGATAAGCAAAGGTTACCACCAGGCACACAATCAAGTAGCAAACATATGCCAATCAAAGAACTACAGAGGAGCAAAATGGAACCCCCACCCCCACCAGCACTGGCAAGGCAGGCCACAGCAGATAAATAGAGAGCAAACCCCATCCCATTTTAGCACTGACGATGTTACCTAGCCAGGTAAGGAAATGTTTGCAAGAAAAGAACCAAACTCAGAGAACCTCTAGGACTCATCAGAAAGGACTTTGTCACATCTCCATTGCTGTAACAAAAACATTTGTCAAATACTACTGCTTCTGACCAAACAGCAGCAATCAAACCAACACTGCTTTGAATTTAGGCCCAGGTGGAAGCTTGCAAAGTCATCTGATTCCTGCTTAGAGAGGGGATGCCCCAGTTAGCTCAATTTCTCCTAAATTATCTTGGGAGTTGGAATTCAGCAAGATGCCGGATATTCTGACTCAGAGATTATATATGAAGAGTGTGATTGCACTTAACACCCAATTTTGCAGCAGGAAAGGTTCCAAAGACAGCTGATTTTATGTGTGATGGTGTAAGGCATGATAGATGCTGCCTTGGATAGAGCTCACCAGCAATCTGTGCTGAATACCTCCCAAACCAGTAAGTTCAGCTAGTGGAACCATCCGACCAGATGCCACCCATAATGAAAAGAAGATCTCTGAGTGACCATCCTGCTTGTTGGGTGCTCAGTTCCAGGACTAGCTCTATCATAAAGCAGGATGAGGCACAAGCTTTATCAAGCAGAGTTCTCGTGAAATAGCGGCAAACTGTTGATGATAGGAGGCTATGGAAAGGAATGATGGTGATCCGTTGTGAGCACACAAATCAGTGGAAAGAGTTCTCCACTTTCTGATATTTTTTTCTGCCTGCGAGTAAAGACTGCCTAGA